GCCCAAAGAGAAATATCAGCGGTTAGACATGCTAATCAGAAGAAAGCCTTGTGTTTTAGTAAAGATTACTTAAGACCCATCAATTTTTTTTTCCCTTCAAACATTCAAGTAAAATAATGTAATTAGCTATTTTTTCCTCTCTCCTCCCAGAGGGCAGTTGTAAATGGTCTGCCTAAATGAAGCTATTTATTTAAATCCGTCCAGATTTCTTTTGAAGTTTTGTACATCTTTCTTCTGCTGTATCAGCTCATAGCTACAATAATTTAATAAGCTTTTCCTAGGGTGAAATTGGATGCCCTTTATCGATCTTACACCGAGGGGGCATTCAATTACTTACTCTAAAGTGGTATTTCTGGGTCTCTCAATTACAATTTTGTTATAAATGGCTTGCTAATGATGCTTGGGGTGCATAGGTTAATAGGGGGCATCCTAGCCAGGGCTGGGTAATTGAACGCTTTCTATTTTGGGACCAGTCATCTGATCTCGCACAGGGGTACGGGTTCCCACACTTGCTGTCTGCCTCCATCAGGCACAGCACTGAGCCCAGGCTGGGAAGCGATCTCACTGAAATGTATACCTGAGTACTTTGGTTTAGTATCTGCATGGGAGCGCCAAGGGTCCTGACTCATCTGAGTCGACTGGCACCAAAACGGGAACATTCCAGATAGGTAAAGTGCAAGGGACATGCGTTGCTTATTTTTTTAAGGAAGAACCACCTGAGTGTGAGGTTTCTGCGGGACTGTTCTCAGGATGATTTGTGGCATATGGAAAAGGCCAATTCAGGAGTAGAACAGCAATGCTTTTCCCTTCGATACGGTCACATTAATTCGATTTTTCTTCACTGCATTACATTACTTGATAGTTGTACATCTTGTAAAGATCCTTTTGAGAGAGTATGTGGCGTGCATCCTTTTTTGCACTTGGACAAATCTCAGCACAATACTTCTCCTGATCTCCATGTGGCTGGCTTCCTTCTCGTCATTCAGGCGTCCCCTCCCAACTACTCTTCTTTGGACATCCTGCTGCTGGACCTCCTTTCCTGTCAGGCTGCAAGGCTCACCTGGGGGTGGAGGTCAGTGCACAGAACAGCCCCTGACCACGAAGAATGATCTGGCCCTAGTGCTGCATTAGAGAATGCCTATTGTCATGGTTTCATTGTATTCTCCTTTTGTATTTTCTCCATAGCTTTTATTGGTGTCTGAGATGATCTTATTCCTTTGTCACATCCATTGTCTGTTGCCCTGTAGCCCCTAAATCCTGGTGGGATATAAGCTCTAGGTGGGGAAAAGCCTCCCTGTCGTGGTTTCTTCTGTACCACTCCTGTCCAGTCAGCCAGGGCTTGGTCTGGAAGCCTCAAAGCTCCAGGCCCTGCACTGACAAGGGCCCCAGCTGTGTATGGGATATGGTCATAGGACTTATTTTTAATCGACCTCATCAAGGGGTATTTTACGTACTAGATACTGGTCATATGTTTTGGTAAAACTTATAAGATAGTTATATATTGTTTCCCCATGCAAACAAGCTCCAGCTCTCCAGACACCAGCTGAATTGCCCTACAATTCAGTTCAGTTCCCATAGTAAATACCCTGAGCTCGCACAGACCCCACAAGTTAAGGGCTCAGTCCCCTAAGACTGCCCCAACTTCAGATGCCAGTTACAAGTATGGGGTCCCAAGGCTACCCAACTTCTGTCTGATCTGGCTACAAATTCCGAGGTTCTCACAAGGCCCTCCTTAGGTCTGATAATTCCCGAGAACTCAGGAAAGTGCCTTATTTACAATTACCAGTTTGTTATAAAGGATACAGCTCAGGAATAACCAGATGAAAAACATGCCTGGGGTAAGACATGGGGGGAGGGGAGGGGAGTCACCCTCCCAGCCCCTCCACACGTTCACCAACTAGAAAGCTCTCCGAATCCTGTCATTTCGGGGCTTTTGATGGAGGTTCCGTTACATAGGCATGATTAATAAATCATTGGCCGTTGATGATTAACTCACTCGCCTCCCTGGAGGTTGGGGAAGTGGGGCTGTAAGTTCCAACCTTCTGTCTAATAGAGGCTTAGGCTTTCTGGGCACCAGCCCCATCCTGAAGCTATCAGGGGTTCCCCCAAGAGTCATCTCATTAGCATAAATTCAGCTGTGGTTGAATGGGGCTTGTCATGAAGAACAAAAAAGATGCTCCTCTCACCCCTTCACTTAGGAAATTCCAAGGGTTTTAGAAGCTATTTGCCAGGAACCGGGGACAAAGACCATGTTTATTTTTTATTCTGTTACCCCCCCCATCTTCTGTTGGCTTTGGGTCTCTACAACCCCACCGCATCTACAGCAGTGCCTGCTCCAAGCTCCCCTTCCGAAGAGATCCGCCCAACAAAGGAACAAACAGGTGATGAGTTGTCGCCCCAGGTCTCGGCTCCCGAGCTGTTTTATGTTTAAGAAGCAAGACTGGAGTAGAGGTCTGGCTAGAGGGTGCAGCCTGCCCAGGGGTATAAATGCTTGGGCTCAACCATGTCCCGGAGCCTCCCTGTTGAGCCTGTCAGCTTCCCTGACGACCCACATCTCTTTCCTTACTTGGCTTGTAAGAAGAAACCTTTGTTTTTGTTTAGGACTATTTCGCCCATTCTGTTGGGTCCAGATTTTGTACATTCTTGTCTTGGAGCTTCCAAGACTCTGTTTTAAAAAAAAAAAAATCTAATTGGACTTTCTGCAGCCAGAGACACAGAAGGGTGTGAACACGCTCCCCACTGAGAGCCTGGTTGGAGCCTCCTTTTAGCCCCGCTTGGCCTTGTCTTTTTAACATGTAAAAAAATGTTTTCTTGGCTTAGCGATAGGATTTCCAAGTAGGGGATCTTGCCCTTTTGTTTCTTTGGTTTGGAAGAATTGTTTGTACCAAGCGATGGGTCAAGGGTGGTTGAGTGAATGGGAGGCAGGGGTTTGGCCTCGAGGCTCCTGTCACGTCCCTCCAACTGCTCTCAAGAGATGTGCGGGGTGGCGGAGCCCCGGGTGTTGGCCTGGTTCCAGAACAGTTTGCTCCTGCACACCCCCACTCCTCTGCTCTTCCCAGAACTGCCCTGACCCCAATCTCGGCCTCCCCTAACTAGCATTTCACAAGCTGGTTCCTTGCGACATTAGTGAGAATTCCGTGGCCAATTATGTTCTGGAAATTTTGCATCTTATATTCCTCTCCTGTGGATTCACAGGGCTCATTAGCATATTAAAGGCCCCCAAAAGTCCTGTTGTAAAGAAATCCGTTTGATTGCCTCCATCTTACCTTTTCTCCGAGTAATTTAAGCACAGAACACATAACAACATGCAGAACATTCAGTGGGAGACACTTTAGGAAGCACTGCTTGGCTATTTCTTGATCAGTGTATTTTGATAAAGCACAGGCCTTTCTGTCCAAGGGAAGGGAAGTTTCCTGCTGGTGAGTCCTCATTATTCAGCCTTCCAGCCAATACAAGGAGGCTTTAACTCAGGGTTGGTTAATCCCACCTTCTCTGCGGACAGGTAGGATTATTTGAGGGCTGTGTGTGTGTGTGTGTGTGTGTGTGTCAAGTTGGAGGTGAGTCTACTGCCTTTGAGTAATTCTCAAGCCCTAAGGAAAAATAATGTGATAGGATCGCCCATCTTTGATTCCACTTTGAACATTCTTGGCATTCACTGACAATTAAAAATCATAATCATGATGGTCATTGATGATGCTATTATTGTTGCCTACCTTTTAGGGGACGCTAATAACTATGTGTAGGCATTAAGCAAACTCTTTGTGTGTGTTAACTAATTTAGTACTTGCTGCAAGCTTATAAGGGAGGTAGTTTCACCCTAATTTCCTGGTCAGGGAGGAAAAGCTCAGAGACGTTGTATGGCCCACTGGAGGTCACACAGCTAGTTAGTGGTGGTCTGCCATTATTGGAAACTAAGTCTCCTTTTTTGCTGTTTTTACAACATCTAAAAAGAAGTGTCATCATTTGGGCAACAATACATTTTATAACCACAGAATTCTGTTAATGGATTTTTAAGAATCATGTTTTCCCCAGGATGATGAAAGTGAAAAATGATTTCAGGGTCTGAGTGTTATGTTACTCAGGGGAACACTGCACGTTGGGTTTAATTGCTTAATAACTTAAAGTCAAGTGGTTTTTTTATATGATGCACTCTACTGAAGGAGAGAATCATTCCAGTGTTTCTAAATTTTCATTAACTTTTGCCTCCTAAACTGATAATAAAGGTTAGTTCTCGGTAAGAGACTATGGGTGCTGAGAGACTATGGACTCTGAGAAACAAACTGAGGGTTCTAGAGGGGAGGGGGGTGGGGGGATGGGTTAGCCTGGTGATGGGTATTAAAGAGGGCACGTATTAAACGGAACACTGGGTATTATACGCAAACAATGAATCATGGAACACTACATCAAAAGCGAATGATGTAATGTATGGTGATTAACATAATAAAATAAAATTAAAATAAAATAAAATAAAATAAAATAAAATAAAATAAAATAAAATAAAAAGAGAGAGACTATGGGTGCTATTGGGAGAGAAAAAACATTTTCTCTGCATGCTCCTACCCTAACCAGGCTGCTTCTTGGATATTTTGTTGATTTAAAAGCGCAGATACTTCAGTTCATCTCTCAACTTACAGTCACTGACCATTCATGCATCTGGGAATGACTATGAAGTCTTGAGACTCGGGGATTCGGTACTTAGCTGTGGCGTGGCTGGGACATTAGAGGATATATGGGCTGTGCAAAATATGAGGTGTTTGATGTGGTGCTGGTGGGGCTGGTGCTGGAGCCACGTTTGGTGGCGGAGATTGAACCCCAAAGCCAAGCACCAGGGACCAGAAAGCTCTCCTTTTATCCCATGTGATTTTCTATGACTTGCTTGTGACCCAGCAGACTGACTGAAACCTAGGCGTGGAAAAGAGAGCTTCTCTCCTGAGAAGGTGTTCCCAGGGTTATGGCTATCATCACGTCATGTAATAAAACCTCTTTTCTTTGTTGTTCAGGTAATCTGACATTTTAAAGATTTTGCTCCCCCTGAAGAGGAAACATTTTAAAGGAGCGTGGGATGTAGAAGAAATCTTCACGGGCCTCTCCAAGGATGGCAGGCCGACCCATCCCTCGCTGAGACCATGATCGCTTCTAATCTCCTGGGTGTCTCCATGTTCTCCAGCGAGAATTTTTCCATTTCATTTTGTGCCATGGGAAAAACCTGAAGGACAGGCAGAATTGCTCCCACACATGTGGGCTTTTCTTAAGATTGCAGTAGCTCTTACAGAACATGACAGTTGGAGATCACTTCTTTTTGTTGTCTTTCAGAGTTGAACCAAAGAAGGCCCTTCCTCATCCTCCAGGGCTTTGGTGCCTGCTCATTTTTATATTGTTTGTTTCCATTGCTTGTGCCTTAAAACCATCTTATCTAATTGAAAGACATCCTTAAAGTTTTTCCAGCACAACTTGCATGCATCCGGGCTCCTCAGGGGCTCGCCCATGGCTCTGTGGGCCAGCTGTCCAAGGGCATTACCATGAGGCACTGCATTAATTGCTGCATACAGTTGTTGCCCAACAACGAGCACAAACAGCAAGTCGGCTGCGGAGGAGGCCCCCTTCATGGTCACCCGGAGTGCCCTGCGTGCAAAGGAGAGAACAAAATTGTGCTCCGGGTGGACGGTAAGCAGATGAACTTGCTTGCTGTTCTCGAGGTGAGGGCCGAGGGGAATGAGAGCTGGGGCAGGTTTCTGCGCTTCAAGAAGGGGAAGCGATGTAGCCTCGTGTTTGGACTGATGATCATGACCTTAGTGATGGCATCTTATATCCTTTCTGGGGCCCACCAAGAGCTTCTGATCTCTTCACCTTTCCATTACGGAGCTTTCCCCAGCAATCCCAGCTTGATGGACGGAGAAAACCCTAGTGACATGAAAGAGCATCATCACCAACCCTCTGTAAATAATATTTCATACGTCAAAGACTACCCAAGCATTAAATTAATTATCAACAGCATCACAGCCAGGATAGAATTCACGACCAGGCAGCTCCCAGACATAGAAGATCTCAAGAAGCAGGAATTGCACGTGAGTAGCCTTCTGCTAATCTCGACTGATAGATTGAATTTTTAAAAATAGATGCTTCCTTTTCTGTCACCATCTTTGGGAACACAGTAAAGAAAAATGGCCAAAAAATTTCTCAGGTGTAACAAGGATAATTTGACAGCCTCACACGTCAGAGGGCCCTGGAAGAGGGCTGTCTGTTCACGATGTTTACACCAAGGAGGAAATTCGAGGTACTGCATGGCGAAGCTAGACATACCCAAGGACCACCCCTTCTCATAATTCCATTGGAGGACTTGAAACACCGCCATGGTGGTTAAACTTGTTTTTGTAGATCACCATCATCCTGTTTCTATTGTGTGTTAATTAGTATTTTTGTCTCTAATGGTCATTTAAATACACAACTAGTAAAAAGATTCCAACTGTGAAATTTAATTAGATTGCTGTGTGCGCTGGCGTGTGCATGTAGGATGGATTTTGAGTAAGCTTTTATCTTCATTCTCTCCAAATTTTAGTTTCATTTTGGGCTAAGGAAAAACATGGTCTTGGCCATGTACCAAGTTTTGCTTTATTTTAGTGTTTAGCCATTGTCAAATAATACTTCAAATGTGAACACTGTAGCGAGGATCAGGGCATGACCGCACCATGGTTAGAACGTGTTTTTGCTAATTTCCCCCCTCCGTGTGTCTCTCCCTCTCTTTCTCTTTCATTGCAGATGTTTTCAGTAATCCCCAATAAATTTCTTCCAAATAGCAAGAGTCCCTGTTGGTACGAGGAGTTCATGGGCAGGAACACCACCGACCCGTACCTGACCAACTCCTACGTGCTCTACTCCAAGCGCTTCCGCTCCACCTTTGACGCCCTGCGCAAGGCCTTCTGGGGCCACCTCTCCCACGCCAGCGGGAAGCACTTCCGCCTCCGCTGCCTGCCGCGCTTCTACATCATCGGGCAGCCTAAGTGCGGCACCACCGACCTCTACGACCGCCTCCGGCTGCACCCGGAAGTCAAGTTCTCCGCCATCAAGGAGCCCCACTGGTGGACCCGGAAGCGCTTTGGTGAGCGCGAGGGGTCGCCCCGAGGGGCGGGGCGGGACGTGCGTGAGCACGCAGGGTATCTTCCTGTCTCCGCCTCCTGCCTCAGTCCTTTAATCCTTAAGCCGCACACGTCTGGCGGGGCCGGCGCCGGGCGCGGTGCTCAGGGTCTTCGGGGAGGCAGGGCAGAAGTGAGGAAACACCCTGAGACACAGAAAGCAGGCAGTTCGCTAGTCTGCCCCCCCCCTCCCCCGCGCACAAACATCCATGGGGCTGGACCCAGCTCCCAGCCACCCAGAGAGCATTTATTAAGTGCCAGCTGTATGCACGGCAAGGGGAAGGGTGCAGAATGGCAGCCCTTCTTGTCCTGAATAGCTTTGGTACACGGGCCGGCAGTGAGTGGTAAGTGCCAGTGCCAGTTGCCAGGTGGGCGTTTTCCTGGGGCTGCCCCCCCCAGCTCTGCACAGTGGCTTCCTGAGCACCCCTCCCACAGGGGGACACTTCCTGAGCACCCCCCCCACCCCACAGGGCTGCCACACGGGGTGAGGTTCGAGCCTCTGGCTGGCCTCTCCGAGGGCTGTGAACACATCTTCGAGCTGCTTTGGGCCTCATTTTTTTCTCTGACCTGCTTCGTCCGTCTGCCTCAAGCTCAGAAGGAGAATCACATGGACATGATTCTGGGCGACCTTGCTCACAGCACCCCTTGCTCACAGGGGTGACTGTGGACACGGCCCCCACCCGGCCGGAGCCACCCCACGGCCCTCAGGTCACTTGTTTCCTCCTCTTAACCTTTTCCCTTCTGCCAGGAGACATTCGGTCACTTTAACAAATGCCAAAGCTGGGGCGGGATTCGAGGGCGTGTTTTCATGTAAAGGACCAGATTGCTTAGAAGGGAATCTTAAAAGTTTTCCTTCATAGATAGCCTAAGTTTAGATCAAGTCCCGTTTGTTTCCTGACAAATTGACTTAATCCTTTTGATGTTCTTCCTGGAGTGAACGAACAGAAGTGTAAATGTGTCTTTTGTGGTTTGGCAGAGGCAGCTGTGGGAGCCATGGTTTAACGTGGGGTGCTCTCCCTGCACAGCTCACCATTTGCCCTAATGAGAACCAGCCTCCCGCTGGCAGGGACGAGGGAAGCTCAGGGGCGTGCTTCTGGGATCCGGTACTCAGAGTCTCTTCGAACCTCTTGCTCTTCTGCACGTGGACGTTTTCTCTCCACTTTCCATTAACCGTGGTAGCTGTGGTTTGGGGTAGTGTGTTGTTAGTAGAGTTGCATGCAAGATTGACCCATTTTTAAGGCAAGGGGCAAATTTCGGCTGCATCGGTCAATGGCAGAACAACTAGTGAGTTCAACCGTTTGTCTCGGGATTCCGGGACAATTCCCCTTGTTTGGACAGACAGACAAGCTGCTTGATCAAACAGGCCAGAGATAGAAGCTCAGATAAAAACTCCCTTTTCTGGGACACGTGGGTGGTTCAGTTGGTTAAGTGCCTGCCTTTGGCTCAGGGTCCTGGGATTGAGCCCTATGTCGGGTCCCCTGCTTCTCGCTCTGCCCCTCTCCTGCTGGGTCTCTTTCTCTAAAAAAAAAAAAATTTTAAAAAAAAAAAAAAAACCCTCCCATTCCTGTTTGATACAGTGTGTGCATTCTGGATGCTGTTGCCGCTCAGCTACTTGGGGCCCCACCTGGTGCACCTCTCAGCCAGCCCCAAAGTCTGGCCCTCCAAGCAGATGCGTTGATCGTTCTTGAACAGGTGTGCAGTCCTGGAAGCCGCCACTTGCACCTGAATGGTGGTCTTCCACCCCTTGAAGTGACCAGGTTAAAGAGGATAGCCAATTTGCTAACATTCTCTCTGCGAGCCCCTTCCGGCAGCTCACTTGGGTGGAGCCTCGGCTGCTGCATCTGGGCCTCTGGGCCTTTACATCCCTCTCGGTCACTCCCCAGGAGGCCACCCCCCCAGCAGTGGCCGCTTTGTCCTTAGTAACTCCTGCTTCTTGGTTCTCGTAGGGATTGTCCGCCTGAGAGATGGGCTTCGGGACCGCTACCCCGTGGAAGATTACCTGGACCTCTTTGACCTGGCCGCACACCAGATTCATCAAGGCCTGCAGGCTGGCTCTGCAAATGAGCAGAGCAGGATGACTAGAATCATTATCGGTAGGACTTCTGTGTAATTCCCCATGGGGGCTGCTCCCACCCTGGGCCTGACCCCCACTCCCACGGGGCTCCTTCTACTCTGGGGCTGGCCCGGCTTTTGCTCTGGCCTGCGGAACATTTGCAGGATGCCTGCCACCTTCCCGACCTGGCCGTCGCTCTCACCCCTGTGTAAAACGTTCACATCACTGACACAATTTCTGTAAAGCAGAAATGTTTAGCAGACTTTTTAGTTCTGTGGAGACTCCCGTGTACCTGTAATGGTTTTTTTCTAAAAGCTGACATTGCTTTGTTTTTATTTAAATTAAGCACATGTGCTTGGTTTCTTTTCATGACATACTGATCTGAGTTTGAATGGGGGATCATAGGCACAGGTAACCAATTAGTCATTGATTTAATACTGTGGCTTTTGGAATCCCTGGCCCCAGGGCCCTGTGAAGACAGAGGCAATTACTCCAGAAACAGATACAGCCCTAATGCGTTGTTGGTGACGAATTGCTGTTCAAAAAGCCTAGCCACTGTCAAGTTAATGCCTTTAGACATTCAAAGTGAGGTGGCTTGATTAATAATCTTTTTTTTTTTTTAATTCACAAGACCGTTTTATAAAAAACCTAACTGTTCGCTTTTTGTATTGGATTCAGCTTAGGAGAAGACATTTATCCACTTACACCTTCTGAAAGAGAGAAATCTGGTCACATAGTTTCCTTAAATTGTACCTGAGGCCGCAGTCTGTATTTTTATTTTCCTAAGTCTATTACATTTTGATTCTGCAAATTCAGTGACTCTGTTAGCAACTAAAAGGAATTGTAATCAAAGATGGCTGTTTGCTTTTGACTCTTTCTCTCCTAGGAGATAGGCTTACATGCCTAAACCCTGAGTTATTTATTGTTTTGTTTTTTAACTCAAAGAAATCAAGTTCTGAGAGCCAGATGAGATCAGACATCACCCCCACCCTGGTGTGAATTGGCTACTAGCTATTTTCTTGCAGCCTTGGGTCCACACACTTCAGATCACAAGTCTAATTAATATTTGACTGTGACTCCCACACCGTATGCTTCTGAGAGAATTTCATGTTCTTGTGAAAGAGCTAAAAATATACATCCTAGGGCTAGGAAATAGAGCCTAACATAATGAATGAAAAAGGAAAGCCTTAGTTTGGTTTTCTAATTTTACCTACTTCCAGATTTAAAAAGGAAAAAGAAAACATTTCGCTGCTCTGATATTTACCTAAAGCAGAGTTTGGGGAGTTTTATGTAGTGGAGAGGTGTGGGGAAAGCCTGCAGCTAGCCCCGCCCGTGCCACCAGCCAGCTCTGTGCCATGTGACGAGTCTGTCTTCCTGTTCCTGAACTCAGCCTGCACGTCTGTACAATGGGCTCGTTGGACCGGCTCCATTCCAGCCCTGGAATGTGATTCAGCTCTGCTTCAGCTTCCTCTGGTTAGATCTTTGATACAGCGTAAGGGTCGGTCTTCCATCTCGGCCCAGGGGTCAGAGAGAGCCTTTCCTCAGTGGTCTGGGCTAATGGCTGGAGTCCCGAAGGATTCGAGCGGCCAGGTTCTCAGGGGTGGGGCTCTAGACACACCGAAAGGCCCCTGCCTCTGCTGTCATGGCACCTTGCTCTGCCCCGTCTAAGTGCTCACCTCAGGAGCTGATTGTTTATGGAGTCGTCAGCCTCCCCTAGGTTGTGAGGTCGGAGAGAGGGGATTGTCTTATTTCCCTCCTCTAACCCTAATGCCAAGCACAGTGCCAGGCACCTAGTAGACACCAGATAAATGCTTTCTGGATGGATGGATATGAAATGAACAGAGGACGAATGAATGGATGGATGGACGGCTGGATGGATGGATGGACAGACGGATGGATGGATGGACAGACGGACAGATGCACTAGCGGATGGACAAATGTTTCTATGGTTGTAGAAGTAGTTTGTTTATGAGATTTGACAGAATTGTGCCTTCATTTTAGATACTTCTCTTGTTCTAATATTCTTATATTCATTGTGAGTAGAATTTTCAAAGGACTTCTGATTGACTTGTCTTTCCTGTATCCTAAGGTATTATCTTTAAAAAAAAAAAAGAGAAGAAAGGAAAGACCAGAAGAGAAATGCTCACCTGAATGTGATTGCACATCCAACAGAATAGATAGGGCCCTGCCAACTCCCTGCATTATTGTGATGCACTCATCACTGATCAAAGACACTAGTCTTTTGGCTTGGATTTTCCCTGAATAAGTGGCTTTGAGATATATTAAATACCCATGTAAAATGTCGGGAAATTGAATTTGTATGTAATTGATCAATTTGCCTTTCTTTCTAAATCTCTGAAGAGTCTTCTAAAAAAAATAGTCAGGGAATTGATTCAAGTATCTGAGCAAGAGATGTTGAAATGTGTATATCTTGGCCTCATGGCTGTCCTAGAATGTGTATTTAACATTTCATCCTTCATTCATACAGACCCTGATAAGAAAGGGCTGGACCCACTCCCTGTCCACCCAGGCAGCACGGAGTGAGTGCCAGCTGTGCGCAGGGCCATGGGGTGGGTGGGCACGCAGGACACAGCACCTCCAGACTGGGGTCCCGTGAGCCCTCCCGTAAACTCTTCCTCTCGTTTGGTCTCAGAGTGTGCCCGGGACCAGCCATGGGTTGTGATTTCATGGAAAATCTGATGCAGATTGCATCTAACTTCGTAAGGAGTGTCAGCCACCGCAAACTACTTCCTCATCCCTGCTGCTTTTTAAAGGGAACCATCTAGTACATTCTCAGTGGGCCTTGAAAATGCCACAGATCTGTGCACCATGAGCAATGTCAAATATCATGAAATTGGGAGGCCAGATGCTGGGAGAGGGTTGTTTTTTTGCTTTGTTTTTTGTTTTGTTTTTTTTGTTTGTTTGTTTTGTTTTGTTTTTACACATCCTGGAGAGGAGCTGGGAGGAAGCAGATGCTCAGTGTTGCCTGGATCACTTTGATTTCCAGACAGAGACCTCTGGGCGGGAACAGGGGAGGTCACCGTGGCAGAGGGGCCTTGTCAGCTTCCTCTTCCTGGAGGCCCATGTGCCCCCGGTGGAGCCTGGTTTGGTCCCTAGCACAGGCTGCCCCGTGGGAGCGTGTAACTCAGCACTGCTCATTTGCAATGTTCTGTGTTTCTAGGGGAGGCCAGCGCCTCCACCATGTGGGACAACAACGCCTGGACCTTTTTCTATGACAACAGCACAGATGGAGAGCCGCCCTTTCTGACCCAGGACTTCATCCACGCCTTTCAGCCAGACGCAAAACTGATCGTCATGCTCAGGGATCCTGTGGAGAGGTGAGCACTTTGGATTTCTTGTATTTGGGGCCAAAAGGCAGTTTTGAAGAACAGCCTGCCTTCTCATCATGAACAAGATCGTCCCTCTTTTTTTTTTTTTTTTTTAATTTAAATAAACAAGCTTAACTTGCAATGTTACTGCTATTTCTTATGTAAATGTTATTGTTGGTGCAATCTTCACTGGGTCTAAACAAACTGTGGAGTGTTTTAGATCTTCTGACCGTGGCCCGTGGGCTTTCGGCCTCTGGCCTGTTTGACCTGGGGACGGAGGACCCTCTTCGGGTACTGTGAAGGTGTGCGAAACCCCCTTGGAATCGGGATGTCAGGGTTTGCCAAGGGGTTTGGCTCCCACGATTCCTGTGTCCCGACCTGCATGAGCCTTTATCCCTGTCAGCTCTGAGAGTTCGGTCTCCTGCTTGAAAGACCAAAAGGAGGAGAGATGATGGGCAGGGCTGCTTTGTCGTAAAAAAGCAGGGGTCACCCACTGGGCTGAGGCACAGCTCACGTGAGACTGGGCATGGGGGTGGCCGGGCCAGCACTGGTGAGGCTTGAATCATGATGAAGCCAGTGGGGAATCGCAGAAGCTGGGGACTTCCGGGACCTGAAAATCACTTAGCGCGACAATCTGCGTGATACCATCCCATCAGAGAGAGGGGCCCTCAGGCTGCTCCAGGACCCTCGAGTGGGAGTCCCCAAGAAGACCAATACAGCCCTGTAACAGTACTCTTCCTGTTTTGAAATCAAGTCTGTCTTTTGGGAGCACCCGCCCTGGATCCATTCTGTCCCCATAGAGCCAGACAGACCCAAGGGACACTCTCCCCATGCGGGAGAGGCTGCCCGATGTTGAAGCAGACCCAACCCTCTGTGTCTCCCTTTTCTGCCTGCCTCTTGTTACGGGTTGAATTAGGCCCTTCACAAGGATGTGCTGAAGTTCTAGCCCACCCCCACCCCCCATACATGTGAGTGTGATCTTATTTGAAAACAAGGGTCTATGCAGATGGACTCAAGTTAAGAAGAGGTCCTGTTGGATTAGGGTGACCCCTGATCTGGTGGTTGGTGTCCTTGTGAGAAGAGGAAATTTGGACACAGGGAGAGCACCATGTGATGATGGAGGCAGAGACTGGAGTGATGTGTCTGCAGGCCAAGGAATGCCTAGGATTGTCAGCTAGCACTAGCAGCTGGAGACAAGCCTAGGAGGGACCCTGCCTTGGAACCCCCAGTAGAACCCACCCTGCTGACACCAGGATTTCAGACTTGCATCTTTCAGAAGTACCAGAGAATAAATTCCTGCCGTTATAAGCCACGAGATTGTGCTGGTTTGTTACAGTAGCCCTAGGAACCTAATAGACTCTGTGAATACCTTCCTTGGATGGGCATGCATTCCTGGCCTCACATCCTTGCCAATGATGATAAGAAGACATGTTTGTCTTCTTATCCTAAAATGGAGAAATTTTAGGAAGTACGCTGGAAAGCTATAAATGAAAATGATTATAAAAAGCACCTACAACCTCCCACCAGATAGCTGTTATTTTTATTGGTTACATTTTCTTCCAGACTGCTTACCTGTGCAGCTAAGTGGTGTGTGTGTGTGTGTACACACACAATTGTAAATACATAGAGCCTTACATCTTGCTTCATTTGTTTCACGTTGTTGCCCCCAGAAGGACATGCCTCAAACTCCTGCCCTGCTCGCTCCTCCCTGAATTTATCTCTGTGTCCCTTCCGTGGAGTTCTCAAAATGGCCCCTGTGGCTCTCAGTGTGACCTGGTCAGAGGGGGGCTGGATTATCCCCCTCTGTCTCCATCCCAGCAGCCCTCCTGGTGCTATACCATAAGGCACATCTATATGCCCCAGATGGTTCCACTCTGGTTCTCTCAGGAATCCCTCTGGTCCAGTTCTGAGGCAGACACTGACCTTGGAGCAGCTCGCCTCGTCCTACCTGCTAGTTCCCACGCTTTGGAGGCAGGAGTTTGGCCCTTCTGCTCACGGAGTGGGCAGGTCCTCCTCAGTCTGAGAACAGTTGACGCAAACCAGTGGTGCTCTTGTGTGGACATGATTATGTAACTGTCAGCCTTGAAAGGAAAGGCTCAGGGACTAAGTGACCCCTTGCCGCCCACTGAGGTATTTTCACAGCTGCTCTGCCTCCCTCCCCCAGACAGCCCCCAGCTGCAGTTCACGAGGTTGGAACATTCTCTCAAGAGTGCACTTTCTGTTCACCGAATGTCTTCCTGTCACATCTCCCTAGTTTCTCCTTCTGAAGAAGGTCACACTGCACCTCAACCTTAGCGGGCCAAGAGAGTGAAAACTGCGACATTTTGTCATTCCCTGGGCATAGAGCAGTGGGAACTGGTCTGTGTCTGGGCTTGTTTGGTGTGTATCAGCCCTGTTCTAGGCCCCAGGCATGGGGAACTCACGGCTGGTTGCAAGACAGGAATTGCTATGGTTGTTACGGTCTGTGGATTCAGCTGGAGCAAGAGGGGAGATGAGAAGTGGCTCAGAAGAGGGAATGAGCTTCAGGTGGGGAAAAGCTATGCTGGAGGAGCCGAAGCCAGGCTGGGTTTTGAAGGACAAGTAAGAGTTTGCCAAGTCAACAAAGAAGGAACGTGGTTGAAAGGAAGAAGCCTTCTGAACAGGGAGATCGGTGAGGACAAAGGTAAAGACCGTGGGTTCTCTTGTTGGAGAGTGGCGTCAGCTTCCCTACATGTGTCCCTCTTTTCCTGCAGTCCTGATTCTACCTCTGAGGACATAAGCGCCATCAGGCGAGCCTTTGAATGGGGAGGGTCTTGGTGCCACCCGGGTTCAGACAGCGAGCCAGAAGCAGGACCTGTCAAAGTCTGCCTTCCTTTAGGAGGATCAAGGGCCACCAGATAGCACTTCCAAGTAGTCACCATATTTTGTTTGGTCTGCTTGCTTTCTGGAACAAATACTTTGTCTATTATAGGAACTGAAAGTGAAGATTTCTTACCTTTCTGTTAATTTCTTACCTTTCTGGTCCTCAGCAGAGCTCGTTCATCAGTTCAGATATTTGTTGAGTCCTGACCACATGTTGGGCACTGTGCTGGGTGCTGAGCATATACATATCCCTGAGGGATGAAGGCCCACCCAGTACCTACCCTCTGGGAGCTGGCACCTTTACCTAGAAGTGAGGCCCTTACTCTCTCATGGTGGATGTCGTGGTGCCAAGGGGGGGATGGCAGGATGCCTAGTGACAGCCTGCATTAGGAGGCTAACCCCATTGTTGGGTTGCCTGCTACGTTAGTCATCTGCATAACAAATCACCCCAAAACTCAGCAGCTTAAAACACCACACACCCCACACCTAGTATTGCACAGTTTCTGTGGGTCAGAATCTGGCACAGTTTACTGCATCTTCTCCTTCAGGATCTCTCCCAGGGCTGCCGTCAAGGCTTCACCACAGTGGGGTCTCATCCAAAGGCTTGACTGGGGAAGGCTCTGCTTCCAAGCTCACATGCTTTCAAGCTCATTGGCAAAATTCAGTTCCTCAATGGCTGTTGGAAGGAGGGTGTTCATTCTTCACTGGCCGTTGGCTAGAGGCTACCCTAAATGCCTTGCTCCTGGGTCTTGCCAACATGGCTGCTTGCTTCATGAGAGCCGCCAGGGAGAGAATCAGCGGGCAGGTCAGAAGGCACGATCTTTTGTAATCTGATCACTGGAGTGTCAGCCCATCACCTTGACCACATTCCGTTGGTTAGAAGCAAGTTACGAGGGCCAGGCCACACTCAAGGGAAGGAGATGGCAGGGTGTGCATGCCAGGGAACAGGGATGATTGCCTACCACACCTGCTCCCCCTTTCCCTGTCTGATCGTCTAGGAACCTGGACCCCAGCGGTGTGGCCAGGAGAAGAGAAGCTGCCAGCGCATGACCGTGTCCAGAGACAGCGCCCGCACATGTACAGCGGGTGTGTGTGTGTGTGTGTGTGTGTGTGTGTGTGTGTGTGTGTGTATTCATGTGCACATTTTCTGTGTGGGTTACTGACAGCAACAGCTGTTCCATTGCTTTTTAAACGTTGATAAAAAGTATGCAACAATAGGAATTTCTTTTTTGAAACCCGTGACTCATGGCCTGTCTTAAATGTCTGGCTTATTTGCCATTCCAGCCGGAAAGGATGATAGATACTCAATGTTTAGATTTTTTGAAGAAACAAACACTTGGAACCCCTGTTCCCATTAGTCTAACTGGGTCCCAGGCCATCAGCCCGCTTGGGTCATTCTGTGACCTTGCTCTTCTGCAGGGGAAGGTTCTAGGGGTTGCTTGCTGCCAGTGGGATTAGGCTAAACTGTTCTTTCCATCTACAAATTGGTGGGGGTGGGGGTGGAGTTTATTTTTAGTTTCAGATTCACATTTAGCCTTTATTTCTAGAATTGATCCGAGGTAGAGGGTTTTTAAAATGTTGCAATTGCACACAGAATCAAATCAATCACTTTTACGTTTCCAGAGAAAGATGCAAATGGTACGTTTGTTGTTCCCTGCTCTGGAGGAGAACAGAGGAGTAGTGGAAGGCGGGTAGGCTGGTTCTTGTGGCCAGAAGGGCCAGCCTAGTTTCACGCTGCAAGTTCCTCTATGTAAGAGATAATGACAGTTTAAAAAGTGAAGCATTTCTAGGCCAAATTGGCGTAGTTAATTAAAAAGCAGAATTTTTCTTCTTTTAATTTGACTCTAAAGTGGGAAAGACTGTTCTTTTCAGCACATCTCCCGTTAGCTTCCCACCTCTTCATTTGTGAGTGGTTGACAGAGTTCACCTCGTAATTCAGAGGCTGCCTTCATTAACTGGGACAAATGGCTGGAAGGTGTTGAGCCCTCTTCACATAGTTTGTTCAGGGGACCCTTGGAGTGGGGTCACACGCCATCTGTTAAGGATTTTACCGTGTTTGTATTTTGGGTTTAATTCTGTGCATAATATTAATGCCAGGTATGGCAGTGACCAGCACAGGATGCTTGGTGCTCACGTTTTATCATGGGCGGGTCAAACGGGAAGGAGAA